ATAAAAAGCTTTTACACAGCAAAGGAAAGAGTCAACAAAAGTAACTAAAAGACAACCTACAAAATGGGAGAGGATACTTGCAAACGTCTATTAGACCAAGGGCTTGTATCCAAAAATCTATAAAGAACTTATTAAACGTAACACCCAAAAAACAAATAATCCAATCAAGAAATGGGCAGAAGATACGAATAGACATTTCTCCAAAGAAGACATACAATGGCCAACAGACACATGAAAAAAAATGTTCAACATCACTTGGCATCAGGGAAATACAAATCAAAACCACACAGATATTACCTCATGTCAGTCAGAATGGCTAAAAATCAACAAGTCAGGGAACAACAGATATTGGCAGAGAAAAGGGAACCGTCTTGCACTGTTGGTGGCAATGTAAGCTAGTACAGCCACTCTGGAGGACAGTGTGGAGGTTTCTCAGAAAGTTAAAAATAGAGCTACCTTATACCCAGCAATTATGCTAGTAGGTATTTATCCAAAGGATACATAGTGATACCAAGGGGCCCTGGATCCCAATGTTTATAGCAACAGCATCCACAATAGCCAAACTAAGAGCCCATATTCCATCACCAGATGAGGGGATGAAGATGTGGCGGATAGATAGATAGATATGTATTTATACACCTACACACACGCACTGGAATATTTCTCAGCCATCAAAAAAATGAAATTTTTACCATTTGCAACAATGTAGATGGATCTCGAGGGCAATATGTAAGTGAAATAAGTCAGAGAAAGGACAAATACCATAGGATTTCACCCATATGTGGAATTTAAGAAACATAACAGATGAATATAGGGGAAGGGAGAGAAAAATAAGATGAGATCAGAGAAGGAGACAAACCATAACAGACTCTTAACTTTAGGAAACAAACTGAGGGTTGCCGGGGAGGAGGTGGGTGGGATGGAACGGGGTCACCGGGTGACGGGCATGAAGGAGGGCACGTGACGTGAGGAGCACCGGGTATTATATGCAACTGCTGAATCACTGAATTCTACCCTTGAAACTAATGATACACTATGTAACTATTTTTTTTTAATTGGAAAAAAAAAGATAATGTTTACTCTAAGACGGTAAAAGACTATAGAGGAATCTATCAGATCCTTAACAAGTAACCCCAGTGGACAAGGGGAGCCTGGGCAGCAAGTGGAATTTTAAAATCCACATTAATTAGACAAGAATATTGTGATGTGTTGTCGGTCCATCATCTCAGGAGCTTCCGGGGTGAAACCTGAGACTGGCCTCCAGGTGTGGAGGGCAGGGGGAGGGTGAAGGGAGGGGGCCCCTCCAGGTTGGTAGGCGGCAGGTTTGATAAGCAAAGGGGACTTACGGTTAAGGTTCATCCTGGGAGGCAGCAAGAGGAGTGAATCCCACACCTGCGTGCCAGGTGAGGGCTTATGTGGGGGCCTAACTAGGTTTGGGCCCATATCCCCGGCAGGTGTTCTCAGCACCGTATCATTATCTCAAGGCTGTGTCCTTGCAGCTGCCTCTGGGAGCAGGAAAGGCAAACAGGACCCACATTTCAAGGACAGGGGTGGAGGTAGAGGGGGGCCCCCCCCGCTCATGGGTCAATTGGTCATGGCTTTTTTTTTTTTTTTTTGCCTGGTTATTTAGGTCTTTTGTTTTGTTTTTATTGAAGTTCGATTTGCCAACATGTAGTATAACACCTAGCGCTCATCCCATCAAGTGCCCCCCTCAGTGCCCGTCATGGTCATGGCTTTCCAGTGAGCTTCCCCAACATGTTTGTGTGCTGCAAATATATGAAGCCAAGATATTATGGCTTAAAAATAGTGCAAGGACTCACTGGAAACCTCATTTGTGGTACTTTGACAATCATTTGGATCCTTCAGAGAAGCAGTTATTTTTTTAAATGTATTTATTCATGAGAGATAGAGAGGCAGAGACCTAGGCAGAGGGAGAAGCAGACTCCCTGCAGGGAGCTTGATGCAGGACTCGATCCCAGGACCCCGGGATGACGCCCTGAGCCGAAGGCAGACGCTCAACCACTGAGCCACCCAGGCGACCTGAACCAGCCACTTTAAAGAGAGGCTGTCCCAGAAGCTATCCAGGGGAGTTTGTTAATGAGCCATCTAGGAGTACGTCTTCTTAGCTGTGACTGTCAGCCCCTCAAGGGCAGTGATGTGCACTCTGGTGGCCTTTGGTCTCCCTTCACAGATGGTGCCAACTGTCACATTCCAGGATCCAAGGCACCTGCACTTGTCACCTGTTGTACTGACTTCCGGCCACATTAGCTTGACTCTAGTTCCTTAGGGATCTTCCTCGGGACTCAACATTATCCAAGGTAGCACCAACCACTCTGACCTTCATAGACGATTCTGAAATGCATGTGAGGCAGGGAGGCAGAGTGGAGGCCGCCGGTCCACAGGGCTGGAGCTGAAGGCTGCAAAATGCTCTAACAGCCCAGGGCGTTCTCTAGCTTCTTCCTGGAGCCCACACTGGAAATTCTGGTATTTGGCTCTAGACGTACTATCCCACGAATTCCAGTATTTCAGTTTGATATTAGAAGGAGTGCACAGCACCCCCTATCCCCGTGTACCCTGTTTTAATTTGCTGTTTTTTTCTATCCTGTGCAACTGTCCAAACCATCCAGCTCTTAAGACTGGACTTGCCTCCACTGAGACCCGCAGGGCCAACTACCTCCTGCCCCTACGCCAACCCTGTGCCAAATGACCGACAACCCGTTTGACCTGGACTTTTTTTTGTATAAAAACTTAAGCAGTACACTTACCAGGTTTGAAGTCTGCCTCGGAGGGGTTTGGAGCACAGTGTGGAGCTACAGGAATTAACCTGACATGCAAAATTGCCAGTTATTTTACCAGCAAAAAAAACGAGTTTACTGGGAAAGGGCAGAGACTTGCAACCCAGAACAAACAGGTGATGGCAAAATCAAAGAGGCATGCAGAGAGCAAAGGACAGGAAAAGCTCTTTTATATAGGAAAGGGGGACAGCTGGGAGGGGCTGTTACAAACAAAAAGTCCTGGCATCAAATGGGAGCTCGCAGGGTACTGGCTTCTGATTGGCTGATTGGGACAGTCTCTCGGTGGGGCTGTTGCTGGGGGGAGGAGGAAATCATTCCTTACCTGTAGTAAAGGATGGTTAAGTGCTACTCACAAGCTGCCTCTCCCACCTGTTGGGTCTGCAATCTCCAGGAGTGGTAGGGCACGAGGACTGCCCCACCTGGCCTCCCAACTCCATTTTTTGGTTAAGATTTCATTTATTTATTTATTCATGAGAGACACAGGGAGAGAGACAGAGACATAGGCAGAGGGAGAAGCAGGCTTCATGCAGGGAACCCACGCAGGACTTGATCCCAGGATCCTGGGCTCATGCCCTGAGCTGAAGGCATTTAGCTGCTGAGCCACCCAGGTGTCCTCCAACTCCATTCTAAATGAGTTTTCTGTTGATTAATTTTCACAACTGTTTAAGCTTAAATAACCCTTCTCAGCCCCTTGCTCAAGCTGTTTCTCAGAGTTTGGGTTTGTAAAATAGGACTAAGTACTTGGAATAGTGCCTGGCAATTAGTGCTATATGTCTTAGCTATTTATTATTGTTGGTGTTAAAGATTAGTTATTTGGGAAACAAATCATTTCTCTGTCCCCTCCCGTGCCTCATGCTCTGGCCACAGGAATCCTCAATTTGGTTAGGCACATTCCCTACACTCATCACCATGAGCATTTGGAGCTGGTGCCAGCTGGTCAGCTTCAGAGTCTTGCTCAGGGGTTTGTGGCAGTTCCTGGGGGTGGAGAAGTATCCCGACCAGTCAGACTAGGCACTAATTCAACTTACAAACCAATGGCTAAATAAGTTTCTTCCTAAGAGAGGTGCATTCCTGGCCTATTAATACACCCATGGGTGCAGAGGGTAGGAGGAAAACAGGCTTTGTGCTGATCCAGAAGTTTTTATTTTTTTTAAATTATTTTTATTTGAGAGAGAGAGCACAAGCAGGGGGAGCAGCAGGCAAAGGGAGAGGGACTCCCCTCTTCCAAAGGGAAGCAGATTCCCTGCTGAACAGGGAGCCAGGACTTGGGACTCCATCCCAGGCCCCTGGGATCATGACCTGAGCTGAAGGCAGATACTTAACCACTGTGCCCCCCAGGAGGCTTATCTATCTATCTATCTATCTATCTATCTATCTATCTATTTATTTATTTATTTATTCAGGAGGCCTTTTTAAATGGGCTTCTGATTGTATGTCCCTGGACTCAGTTCACCTTTTATTTTTAAAGATTTATTTATGAGAGAGAGAGAGTGAGCGAGCACGTGCATGTGGGAGGTGAGGGAGGGGCAGGCAGAGAGGGAGAGAATCTCATGCAGAATCTGCACTGAGTGGGGAGCACAACTCGGGCTAGATCCCACAACCCCAAGATCACGACCCAGCCAAAACCAAGAGTGTGACCCCCAACCAACTGGGGCACTCAGGCACCCCAGCTCACCTTTTCAACCTGGGATCTCAACAGGACTGTCTCTGAACCTAAGACAGGGGTGGGGGTGAATGTTTGACAAACCTCTCAACTCAGGCTTGGAGCAGTGACCTGATACCTTGTGTTGGTCCCTCTGGCATTTATGGCTTTTCCCTCCCTGGATGCAAAGATTGGGCACGGAAGGCCCTCTGGAACTCCAGAGTTGAGATCTTTCCTTGGCAAGTGATTTGGTCTCTTCATGACTTTGGGATGGTCACTCACCTTCTCTACTGCTGGGGCTTCTTACTGGGAAGATATTGCAGATAAATTCACATGAGAAGCAGCTGGAAGTATTACAGACTTCTTGATGTAGTTCTTAGTCATCTGTTTTTGACTATATTAAACATTCATTCCCTCCCATGCTCTCTGGCTTCTCTAGGCAAGTGTTCTCTTGTTAACAGCTGCCCACACTTAGATATGGAAAAATCCAGTGGCTGCTAGCTAGAGCAAGGGTGTTAACAGCAGCAAGCAGACAACTAGCTAGTAAACGACTGGGGGAGGGGAAATGAAACAGCTGTTTCGGTTTTGAAACACAGACCTTACTGGCTTGGGACTTATCAAAGGTATGTCACCCCCATATTTCTAAAGTCTCTTCCTGGTCGATAGCAAACAAACTACTAATCTTTCTGGGTGAGGAAAAAGGATCTGTACTCAGGGGCCCAGATTGGTTGGAAAAGCAGTAGGGTTGGTGGGCAAGTGCTAGAAAGGATGAGGCTAGAAGTCTCTAGGATCCAGAGGTCCAGAGGTGGGTGACTAAGTTCTGATGTCTCCTCACACTTCCTCCCTAGGAGTCAACAGCACTTTTTCTGCTTAGATCAGCTTATTTGCTACTACTACCCAATTGCTTCCAGAGCCAGGCAAATGCCTCACCTTTGTGACTTTTCACACTTCTCTGTCCTCTCCTCTTGACTCAATAGGGTGGGAAGAGGCCAGTTTTTCAAATGTACCCAGGCTTTAGCCAGATCATCTGTACCAAAGGTGAGAACATTTTTTGTTTATTCAAAACTAACCAAAAGGTCAGCATACTTTGGAAGGGTGCGTAAGTCACTTTTTCATTCATTCATTCAAGACCAGGGGCCTATTATTATATATCAGCTGTTGTACCAGGCCTTGAATTTACAAAGATGAAATAATCCATGTGTAATAACAAACGAGTTCCTGATTATAGGTTACTGTTAGAGAACTTCTAATTTCTGAGATAAAAAATTTTCATTGGTCTCCCTCACACTGACAGTGAAGCTCGAGTACTCTCCAAGTGGGATGGGCACTGGCTTACAATTTCTAAGCTTATGAGCAGCAGTGACCTTCCCCCCTCCTCTCCCAAGCAAGTGTTCCAGCCACGGAGGTCCTTCAGGACATCCCCAACCACCCACAGTGTCTGTGTGCTGTGGGAAGAGGGGCACATGCACACCTATACACACAGGAGCTCATAGGAAGGAGGATGAGAGGTCAGGGTGTGTGAAGCACACTCCCTGTTTTCCCCTACTAAGGGTTTCTCTCTTCACTTAAAACTATGCCAAGAAAGTTAACAGATTGTCAACTGCACAGTGTGTTCTAATACTGCTTATTGAACATGACAAAGTCCTACAGAAAATTTGGAACTTTGTTATAGGATTATGCCTAGGAATTATTTTATGGGATTTGGACTGTGTATTTATCGATACATATATATGCAAAAAAAATATCAACTAAGATTTCTCAAATGGCAGCTCTTCCAAGATCATCAAATGAATGGATTGTTAATGGTTTGTCTCGTCAATTCATTAATTTATACCCAACAAGACTTTTTTTTTTTAAAGATTTTATTTACTTATTCCTGAGAGACACACAGAAAGAGGCAGAGACACAGGCAGAGGGAGAAGCAGGATCCTCGCAGGGATCCTGATGTGGGACTCAAACCAGGGGCTCCAGGATCAACCGCTGAGCCACCCAAGCGTCCCCCCAACAAGACTTTAAATCAGGGACTCCTAATGCTGCAATTGGTAATGCGGAGTCTTGCAACAAAACCCTCAACACAGCAGAGCAACACAAAGGAGACTGTGCTTCTGTTTACCACCTGCTGCAGCTGGAGCTGCAGTTTCCATCCCCGCCCTTCCCACCTGGCGGGACAAACAGCCGCAGATTGCTGATGGGCCATTGCCCTCCAGCGCCTCTATGGTCGATGGCTGGTGACAGATGGGTGTTGCAGGCAGTCTTTCATTTCTAGGCTCATTCTGCTCGTGGTAGTCAGTTGGGGAAGGTCATCAAAAAGACGTGAGGGCCAGTTGACCCATGAGTTGGTCCCCCCCTCCAGTGTCCTCGGAATGGGGGTTCTGCTTGCCTTTCCTGTTCCCAGAGGCCGCTCCAAGTTCACAGCCTTGCTGGAGTTGAGAACACCTGCACGGTGTACGTGACTAAACCCAGTTAAGGCCTCTTTATGACCTTTTAAGATTTGGCGAGTGGTGCGGGATCCATTCATCTTGCCGCCACCCAAGACAAGTCTTTAGTGTGTGAGTCCCCTCTGCTTCCTAAAGCCGCCGCCGTCTCCCAACCTGGAGTGGCCTCCCTCCTTCTTCACCCTCCCCCTGCCCTCCAGCTATGGGTGTGTTCCAGATTCCACCTGGAAAGCCCCTGAGGTTGTCACCAACAGTATCTCCCCACACTTTCGCCCATCACTTTCTGTGTCTGTCCTTTGTCATGATGGCTGGAGGAGCCCCAGCCTGTCCTAGCAGGCACCTACCTCCCTGGCCAAACCCCAACCCTGCAACTTGCTCATATTTTTGCCCTCCAGGCTCTGAGAGATCATTCAGAAGGGATTGAGGATGGGGAAGAGATGAGGGGAGGGTGGGATGGGATGAACTCTTCTTAGCAAGCTTCTTTCTTTGGCCAGGCCTGTCTCTAACCTGTACAATCAATGTATAGACAAGTTTTCTGGAACAAGCCCAACAGGGAGGTAAAAGCTGCCCTTGCAGTCGTGATCCTTGACCAAGAGGTTTTTTCTAGAAATGTGTTTTTTGAGAAACTGTTTCTGGAAGCCCTGGGGTTGGTGTTGTCCATTAACAAGCACTGTGTCTCCGAAGACTCTGTCAAGGTCTACACCCTTGAAAACAGGTGAGGAGGCCAGAGACGTAGGACCTTTTAACGTGCCTGCCATCCCCATCCTGCTGCCAAGGTCTGAGTCAACACCAGAGTGAAAGTAGGCAGCCTCTCCTGCTCTGCCCTGGCTTGTCTGTTTGAAGAACATAGGGATGAGAGGAATATTAATCCCCCTTAGGAAATGTGGTTTGAAGACCTGCATCTCTTTACATGCCTTTAATCTGACTTTCAAGACGGGGCACTGGGATCATGTTTGGTTCTTATTCCTTTTTTTTTTTTTAAAGATTTATTTATTTATTTATTTATTTATTTATTTATTTATTTATGAGAGAGAGAGAGAGAGAGAGAGAGAGAGAGGCAGAGACACAGGAGGACAGAGAAGCAGGCTCCATGCCGGGAGCCCGACGCGGGACTCAATCCTGGGACTCCAGGATCGTGCCCTGGGCCAAAGGCAGGCGCCAAACCACTGAGCCATCCAGGGATCCCCCTGGTTCTTATTCTTAAAAGCAATTTCCAGAAGTGTTTATTAAAAAAACAATCTTGTCATTCTTATTCACATCTTTGTGAATAGTGATTTATAAACTGAATTTTGATAAAACTTGAGCGAACTGTCAATTCATCTTTTAGATGATCAGAGATGCGCTGGAGCCCTTCATGCACAACCACCACTTTGCTCTGTGGGAAAAGGCCTGGTCTCTACTTTAGGGACACATCACAAAAGCAGATGCTACCCAGATGTTTTAAAAACACATCCTGTAAAAGCACTTTTTGTTGTGTTCAGATCAAAGATCCGATACAAATCTTCAGTCACTGGAGGTTTAAAAAGAAGTTTGTCTATTAGCAGAGCCTGAAAATAATCCTCGTGGACACTGCACCTGTTAGGACTATCATTTTTGAGCTTCAGTGTACATTCTTCTCAAAACTTCTAATTGAGTTCTGGCTTTGGGGAGCCATGGCCAAGTGCTAGGGTACGAAAGAAGAAAACAAATCTCCCAGCCCTAGTACGGTAGGCCTCTTGAGTAAAGCAGGAGACAAGCACGTGAGAAAGAAGTGATTGGGTGGTGGTCAATGTGCCCCACCCAATCGGTGTCAGAAAGTGATTTGCAGGCAAGTGAGAAAGTGGTTATGACAAATTCTTTGCATAAGTGGGATCGGTTTCACCCACTCTGATACTGGTCTCCCTTCACCAACAGTGCGTTTTATACTCTGAGATTTCCTGAAACAAGTTTTAGCAAGGAGCTGGAAAGGTCTCTCAGCAGGAAGGTCTAGCTGGCAGCGTTCAGGGAGCTCCCAGGCATTTGGCGATTGCCCACAGGAAGACCAGATGTAGGCCTCCTGCAGGGTAAGAGAGCTGGGAAGGCTGGTGGTGTCTTTGGGTGTAAGCAGCAGCAAGGCGAGCTAGTGCTCAAATAAGAGGCAAAAATGGAAGACGTAGGGAACTACAGAAGCAGTTCATCTGTCAGAAGGAATGGGAAAAAAATAGCTTCTAGGAATATGAATCTAAAAGGACAAGTTGAGGAGCACCTGGGGGGCTCAGTTGGTTAAACATGTGCCTTCGGCTCAGGTCATGATCCAGGGTCCTGGGATGAAGCTCTGCATCTAGCTCCCTGCTCAGTGGGGACCTTGCTTCTCCCTCTCCTTCCTGTTCCTGCTCTCTCACAAATAAATACATAAAGTCTTCAAAAATAAATAAATAGATAAGTTGATTGCCAGATGGGTTCTATCTCCCATTGGTTGAAGCGATCTTTTCTCGATGCTTTATTCTCTCAGGTAGGCCCACCTCATCAAAAACCAGGGTTTTGAAGTAAACAACTCCTGGAGTCTGCAGACATCTTCCCTGGTCAGCCGTGTGCCCAGGGGCTGCGTCGATGGCTACCAACGACACTCCCGACAGTCCTTCACAACATCCACATGGCTGCAAGAGCTAAAGCGCTTTCTTACGGCCAAATGATCCAGTGGTTACCGCCGTAGGTCCTTGGACACATTAACCAAATGGCTCTGCCACTAGGGGTGGAGAAGAGGAGCAGAGGGCACACCTTACCACGCCAGTAAATCCCTGGGACAAAGAGGTGGGCACTGGCTCCCCATTTCCACACTGGGTGTTCCAGTCCACCACCGTCACATACTCGGCCTACTGAACCTGGGTGAGGATCTTTACAGGAAGATACCTTCCTTTCTGGGCATTAACCTTCAGGCGAGTGCTTCCTTCACCGTTTCCTGGGGTCTCCTCAAGCCCTGGCCCACGGGAGGGGGGGGGGCAATGGCCTCCAAATTGCTCTCAACCCTTCTGTACCTTCTTCCCATCCACGTGCCCACGAAGTCCTCTGCTTAGCTTGTTGGAACACAGGAGACAGCCGTTACTGAGAGCTCCTGCCTCTCCCCGAAGGAGGCAAAAATTGCTTGAACAGGTGCTGAGGGGCTTTGGTCTCCGAAGCTGGGAACCGTGAAGTTCTGCCCGGGGCCTGGGGGTATTTGGTGCTCATCACTGCAGCTCTCTGGCTGCTGCTGGTTTGGAGTAAAGAGAGGTTAAGAAAACATCTTCTCTAGAAATCTGTATTCAGGTCATTTCTGGGACTGTACGGTCATTATTCTTTACGCTACAATCTTCTCCAGTGACCTTAAGATGATGTAAAATCGTAGATCTGTAACACAGAAAACCTTTTACAACTTTTTTAAAAAAAGATTTTATTCATTTATTCATGAGAGACAGAAAGGCAGAGACACAGGCAGAGGGAGAGGCAGGCTCCCTGTGGGTAGGCCAATGTGGGACTCGATCCCCGGATCCTGGGATCAATCCCTGGGCTGAAGGCAGATGCTCAACCGCTGGGCCACCCAGGGATTCCCCCCAGAAAACCTTTTAAACATCTGACCCATATCCATCATGGGGGGACAGGTGGCATGCCTGTGTTGGAGGGTACTCTGGGACCACCTGGATAGTGGGGGAAGCAGGATGGGGTGAAAGGGAAGCTGAGCCATGATCGTTGTGGGAGGAGCTGCCCAGGAGGAATTCTGAAGTTGAGACGGTACTTCAGATACCCCAAATTGGAGCAAGGAGGCTGGGCTTTTGTACCTTCACTGGCTGCATGTGGACGTAGCTGTGGGAAAGGTAGTTCTCTTCCGAGGGCAATTCCTGGGGGACACGGAGAGGGGAGGGAGTGTCCCGGTCCTGAGGGAGGGAGGGCGGGTGGCATGCCACAGTATCCACTGGCCCCCCATCAGCCCACTAATAATGACAGACCAACATTATTTAAATTATTTATTTTTTCTATAGTACATCTCATTCAAATCATAGAATAGTCTGATCCATTTTTTTTTTCTCAAGCACAACTTAACTCATCTCAGATGTTTTTTCTTCCCTTCCTTCTTTTAATCTTACAGGATGGATAGAGATACACTTTAATGGACAAAAACCATCACTCAAGAGTTTATTAAAAATACAATTTCCCAGGGCCCACTCCCAGAGCTTGGAGTGTCTGGGGTCGGTCCTAGGGAGGCAAAAAGTTAAAACTCTCATTAATTCTGCTGCAGGTGGTCTTGAACCATCCTTAGAGGAACACTGCTCAGGACTTGACTGTTATCTATTGGAAGCAATTTCAGGAAATCCAGGAATAATTAAGTATACAGAAATAGCTCTTCTATAAAATTTCCATATAAAAATAACGGTATTTATTTACAAAGTTTGAGATGCTATAAAATAATACATCATATTAGGTTAGGTACTTCAATCTAATAAAGTCTACATTAGGCAAGTCAGATGTGGTGTCTGCATCTTCCCCTCGCTTCTCCTGTTTAAATTGCTTAAAGCATGTGGCACCACAACGTTTCCTTCATGCAGAAAAAAAGCAGACCTAGATTTTCTGGAAATAAAACCCAACAGCACATGATCAGAGTAAAGCATCTCCAAATGAAAAGGTGAATGAACTTGTGATTTGGGCTCACAGCCTTTTTTTTTTTTTTTTTGTCTAGAAGTCAAGTGTGGTGGTGGCAAACGAAATCCCTCAAGGAACTCACAGTACTGAACCATGGTCATCAGAGCTCAGGCCTACTGAGCAGCCTGCCCCAGTTACTAGTTCTATTTTCAGGACCCCGAAAGGTTGAACCTGCCATCATACTACAAGGAGAAAGAGAACTGCAATGTGCTCAAAGAAGTCTTTTAGCAGAAAAATATCTGGATCTTCGGACTTTTTAGTATGCAAAAAACACTGACCCCAGTCAAGAATAAGCAAAATAAAACATTAGGCCATTTGTTATTAGGTGGTGCCTGACATGCTGAAGATGACGTGTAAGTGACAACATGGTGAGTTTGAAGTGACAAAGGGTTTTAAACCCCAAACATGATCTGGGGAAGTTTCCTTGTTGTGTTGAGAGCCACGGACAGGAACAAGCTAATGTGGTACAGGAGGATCCAGTGGGAACTCAACCTCTCAACCTCCTACCGGTGACCAACATAAACATGTAGGATGGTCTTTCCTCAGGGAGGAATGAGTTTCTTCCCAGGTGTGATGACTAAACCTGGGGTCTTCCAAGTCGAGAGAAGCCCAAAGCTGACACCACAACCTCATGCTGGGGACTCACGAGTGGAGTCCCGCTTTTGCTCAACTGTTAAGCACTTGGTGCGACAGAGGACTGATACAAATCCAAAGCTGTCTGAAGGACGGTGGTGAGGGTGTGGTTTGCAGGAGGCCAAGTGGCCCTCACGGGAGGAAGAGTTCTGGGTTGTGGTGCAGGCTCTGCCACACAGGCTGAGGGATGTTAGACAGGCCAAGCTCTCAGCTTGTTTCTCAACAAATGGGGTAGAAGAGATGTTCCCTTCCATCCTGAGACCCTCGGGGGAGGATGGGGGAGTCCTGTCCCTTCCATCTACACTGGCTTCCGATGCAGCTCTAAGCAGGGAGGCCAAGTCCAGTCGGCTGAACAGCAAGGGTCAGGAGAGCATGCAGTTCTAGAGCCCTTTTTGTAAAGTAAAGGTTGTAGAAGGATGACTCAGGGTTTTACCTGGACTGAGAGGACAGCTGCAGAGAATGCACGTAAGAAACAATACACTTCCTGCAGTCTCGTCACAAGCGGACATCTGCTACCATTTAAGCTTTCATACTTGTCACAGATGCCCAGGGCACAACTGGAGGGTCACAGTTTCGTGCCCCCGACTTTTCCTTCTTTAGCATAGCGTGAATGTAGGTGTGTGTGGGGGGAAACTGGATCTCAAAGGTTACGTGAGCCTACCTGTTCGGAGATACCTTGAAGGAGTGAATTCCTGAGGAATGTTGTCATTTATGTGGGCGTTTAGTTTGAATTTTTCTTAAAAAGATCTTAAGCAAATATCAGGCTTTTTCCCTTTTGAGTAATAGTGTGGCTTCAGTGTAAGTTAAATCAGCTGAAGACTGTACCGACTGTGATTCAGAGGGCAAGGAGGCACATTTCTGAGGCCGACAGCGTGGTGCAGGCCTCGGGCACACGGCCGGGGGGCGGGGTCCCCCATAAGTACACATTTATGACCGTCAGGGCCTAGGGCCCACTGCCCTGGGCCACGGAGACAGGGAGCCTATTTGTGAAAATATCCCGGGGAAGTCTTTAGCTCCACGTAAAGCCAACCCACACGCAGAGTAAAAGGTTATCTTTTATGTATCTAATACAAAAAGTAGATCTTTATGTATCCAACAACTTGAAAAACTAGAAGAAAACACCTAGAAAAGTGATTACTTTTTTATGGTATAGGTTCCACTGCAGGGTGATGAAATGAATAATGAGAACGTCGTGGGTTAGAGTTAGAATTTTCTCTTGGTTCATGGATACTGCTGGCAGCTAAATTTTTCCTTTATATCTTAAAAGTTCCTTAACAAATCCCACCCAAAATCTATGTTTAACACCGGAACGGTGTGACCTTTGGAATGTAGTAGCGAATCCAAGTGCTTATTATGGGGATAGTGTGGAAAGAAGGTATAGAGACGTCAGTCTTTCAACTGTCTGACTCAGGACAAATGTCACTTTCTTAGGGGGAGGCCTTCCCTGGCCGGCCTAGCCAAAGTCACCTTTCTTTCCCCCCCACTGTCTTATCACCCCATCATTTTTCCCTTAGCACTAATCACTCTCAATGTTTTCTGTTCTGTATTCACTCAAATACCTACTGAAGGATTAAATTGTTACATTCACTGTCCAACACCCACTCTGTACTTAACCACTAGGAAGGCACAATCTTAACGTCTACATCCCAGATTGGTTTGGGGAGAAACACTCCTTTCATATGACTGAGGACAGGGAGCGGGAAGCGGGATAGGTATTTAAAGGGCCCTTAAAGTCAATCACTGATAAAGCTAAACAGACCTCTCTCTCTCTCTCTCTCTCTCTCTCTCTGTGGTTACGAAACAGCTTTGGCAGCTCCCTTCCTTTGTAACCTTGCCTCCAAGAACATCCACCGCCACTATGTTCTGACTGTCCCAGGGCCTAAGTTACATCTACACTTGGAGCAACTTTGCTGTCTCTGTGACCCAAGTAGCCAAAAAAGAGCTGTGGTCTAGCAGACAGCCAAGTGACAAATGTCTGCACGGCGAAAGCGGACCACTCCTTTGTGAAACCTCTCCATCTTAATTATCTGATAGGAGCTAATCTGCATTTGGGGACTGACCCTGGCTTTATTTTTCAAGTATGGCAACGGTACAGTTACAACTGTAAATTCCACCAACGATGGGAGTTACCCTCTTTTGTCCTGGTAAAACGGCAGAAACTCCCCACCATTTCTATAAAGAATTAAACTGTAGGGAACAAGACACGTGGTCATTGTCAAGTTTTCCAGGGACGGTGCCCATCACTGAGGTGAGGAATCACCACATTGGCATCTCCTTTCCTGCCCCTTCCACAACGTCCTCCGTGATCATAAGGCACAATTCAGATTAGCACTTGCCAAAGCTGTTCTCACCCCCTTGCCAGCACGCGAAAAGACTAAACAAATGAGAAAGATTCACGGTGGGAAGGGTGAAGGGAAGCTCGGGCAGGTGCTGGGGTGCCTCACACACTGCCATGGACTCTGAAAGTGCTGGCCTCCCCACGTAAGGGTCAGTGTGGCAGGTCTGGGGCCCCCTGTGCACGTGCTAATGGGAGCAGGAATTTACCGGCCCAATGACATCATGCACTTAAAAGGGTAATAGCTGAGCTGACCCTTGAGGAGGAAAAAGGCCTCTCGAACTCCCCAAAAAGCAGAGTGTGACTGGCACCTTCTGGGAGGGGTGTCTGTGCACACACACGTGTGTATGCATGTGTGCATGTGACCCCAAGGGCTCCTCCTATAAGGAATCCTGGATATCGCAATCATAATTTCCCAACATTTTGTTACTTTGATTTCTATATAGAATTGTGACTGAGTATTGAACTTTAAAAAAAAAAATCTGTTTAGGGGAGATATACAAGAACAGAAGAATTTATGTTTCTAAACATCTCAACTTAGCTTTCTGCTCAGGTAAGGCTTCACACCAGCGAGATGTCCTGGTGACCACAGTGTGCCTCCAACAGATGTCCTCAGCAGTAACCCAAACCCTTTACTGAGGGGTGGAGGCCACTTTCCACCAAATACCACACACGAACGGCTGAGATGGCCAATGATGGGGCACCAATTATGTGAAGAGTCTTTGGTTGCTTTAAAAAAACAAAAACAAAAAACCTCAAACCGGCATTTTATCAGTTTAAAACACTACAACAGCAGAGAGAGAGAGAGAGAGAGAGAGAGAGAACTAGAGCTCCAGCAAGGACTTTGCTATTTGGTGCAGGAATGGTTATGCTGAATTACCTGCAGAAATGTTGATGTACAGGTGTTGGAACCTGTATAAAATATTGTGAAGACTAAAGAGTCAGCTGTGACCCCTGGGCTCTCCAGGTCCCGGCTGGCTCTCGAGTACAGCGATATGGGTAGTTAAGGTTGGAGTCAGTAAAGGAGGGGGCCGTTTGGAAGGGAACCAGTTTTATCCAACTGTGTAGCTGATGCTCTTCGAGTCGGAAGTGTCTCAGAAGCCCTCGGGGCCCTGCTGCAGCCTCTGCACTATTTTGGACTCCTGCCACCCACCAGCCTCAGAGGTGTTCCCAGAACTCAGGCGGAGACAGAAGTCTCTAGAACTGCCTCGATCTCTCTGCTCCCCTGACCACTCTGAGTCTGCACTATGGCTTATTAGGACAGAATGAGTGTTGTCTCCAAGGAACCTCAGTTAAAGTTGTGTGTTCTTGTGTATTAGTTTTCATGGGCTTAGTAAAAATTTTAGGTCAGCCAAATCTTTCCTCTCCAGCTTACTGTAAGCAGAGTGGAAGAACTTTAAAAAGGCATCAGAAGGCATCCGTACCCCACCCCCCGCCATGGGTTTAGAAAAGAACCGGTTTGGGACAAGCTTAGTGTTGCACCCAAAGGTGCTGGATGCATAATCTAGAGGCAAATCCAAAGGATTTGAGTCAAAGAGTTATTTTCCATTACTATTTGCTCCTTCTCAAGGCCTTAATGTGATAGATTGGGGCCTGGCCGTGCCGGTCGATGTCCTCACACTGCCCTGTTCAGAGGGCCAGGAGCTGTGAACGCCCCAGGGCAGTACGCCCAGTGGCATCTTTGGCTATGAAACAACATACTGTATACTGCACTACCACAAATCCAGTCATTTGGAGTGATCAACATTTTTCTGTGTTTCTGTGAAACAATTAATATCGGGTTAGTTTGAAATGCAATTTACCCAGGAATAAACCCAATAAGGTAATTTTGAGTAACGAAAATGTACAAAAGGTGACGTGTACAGGAAAACGTTGCTGTTCGTATTCTTGAAAGAGACTTTTCTTTTAAGACAAAAGTAATGACATTTGGTTCATTTTCACAAATTGCACAGAGTGAAATCATACAAGTACTGGAGGGAGCTATAAGCAAGCAATTCGGTCATAGGAATTGGTTTCTTTGTTTTGTTTCAAATGAAAAAGCTATATGAAATGCATAGCTTTGATTAAAACTATAGATACAATTTCCTTCTCTGTAAAACTCCAGATTTAGAATGCTGGCAAAGGCAGTGCTGGCAAAGTATTTTAATGCACGTGGAAATGCTATTCTATATTTGGCTTCCAGAAGTAGCCCTAGAAAATTCTATGCACCAATGCATTGGCTAATAATGATCATCTCAGTTTTACTATAAATTATTCTAAATGTCACTTAAGTACTTAAGAATTAGCGCTTGCTCCTTTCTAGAAGCCGTCTAAGGCAGCTGATGCGTAAAGCACCTCAACTAGACTTTCAACTAGTTCAGCAGTTCAGTCTGTGCTCCTTAGACCACAAGGATTGCCGTCTACATCCCTCACTGTACAACTCGCCCCCGCTGGGATCCTTTCGCGTTCACTTCTGCTTGTAAAAAGCAGCCCAGTCGAGGAAGAGAGACATGACGAACATGAAGTCAAGGACTGTTTGTTACAGCAATCCTGATCCTAAGGACGGTTACAGGGGCGTGGGGGGACACAAAGATCCCACCTCGTGGGAGATAAATGAGCTTCATTCATGCTGCCAATTCTTTAGGGGCTATCCCCTCCATCACCTCAGAACACCGCTTTGTCTGCGGTGATCCATTGCTCCTTGGTCAGAGTTTTCATTCACGCTAGGTTAACTTTCATCTCAATCATCTCAGCCTTCCTATCATTTGCTTATTGTGTTTCCCTAGTTTTCACTGAACACACAGTGCAAACAAAGGCAAAGACTGAAGCAATCATTTTAAAAACAAGAGCTCACACTAAAAACACACATGAGCGTCAAATATTAAAACATGGGTTTTCTCCTGTCTTTATTCTGGGGAGGAGGAATCCTCCTCGTCATCTTCCTCATCTTCGTCGTTGAACGAACAGGGGGTCTCGCCTCGTGACTCAGAGCAGTGAGAGGCTGCACTGCTGGACTGGTGACTGTTTGGGGCAAGGAACTGCCCAGTTGCTAAGGCCACTTCAGCATCCAAGCACAACCCTTGGTTTACACTAGCGAATAATTAAAAACACACAAGCTCATTAATGTGGCAAATCTTTCAAGCTTTGTAAAATGTCGGAATAAAAACATGGGAGAGGAGGTGCCACTGGGGAGCTCTGCCAAAATGTGCTCAAGACCTGGGCCAGCAGTGACACCTGGCTCTCCCCTGCAGGGGGGGTGGGGGTGGGGGTGTGGGCAGGGCTTCACAGCTTCTCTTTCTAATCCCTGAAAAAATACGTACCTTGATTGGGACAAGGTGGCACCGGTGGTCAGGTCTAAATTTGAGACTGATTGAGTAGAGTTCAAAAGTAGTCCCTGATTTAACCAAGAAGGTCCTGTGGAGATATCTACAGGGAGAAACAGAAACAGAAGATGTAGGTGTGCTGCAAGCTCTGTGGCTGCTGCTCTTGCAGTTGAGAGGAGCACAGGTGAGGTAGGGCATGAGCCTGGTCTAAATTACAGCTAGGTAAGTCTCCTGTCCTGGGGAGAACCCACGTTTCTTTGGCCTGGAAAAAGGAAATCTCTGGGACGTAAAAACAGGAAAAAAATTTGGGAAGGCGGATGACAGTGAGGAAAAATTCAAATTAAACCACTCACACACAGAAACAATAAAAAATAAACCACTCACAGACTCCCAATCTTTTTTCTTAATTAGGAAATCGAGAGGGCAGCTGAGAGTACAGTGATCACTGCACCATTCCTGGACACCTGCTGTCCTCACCACCAAAGACTCTGGTGTAAAAGGCCAAAGCCACGAGCAGGTAAAAAGAAAGTCAAATGAGAAATAGGTAAGAAGCTTTTCATGTGCCCCTTCAGTGAACTCAGTGCTATTACTCATAAAAGATATATTTCTTTTTCCTGGTATCCTTTGCTTTGTAACTCACAGTAGCCCTTATGTTGTTTTTTAAAATATTTATTTATTTATTTATTTATTTATTTATTTATTTATTTATTTATTTATTTTAAATATTTTCTTATTCATGAGAAACACAGAGAGGCAGAGACAGAGGCAGAGTGAACCACCCAGGTACCCCAACTAGCCCGTATTTTAAAAGGTCACATGCAGGGATCCCTGGGTGGCGCAGTGGTTTAGCGCCTGCCTTTGGCCCAGGGCGTGATCCTGGAGTCCCAGGATTGAGTCCTGCATCGGGTTCCTGGCATGGAGCCTGCTTCTCCCTCTGCCTCTGCCTCTGCCTCTGCCTCTCTCTCTATCACGAATAAATAAATCTTTAAAAAAAAAAAAAAGGTCACATGCAGTCATATTTTTAATGAAGGCGAGGCAAACATTACTGTTTTAATCTGCATAAAATATTTTGGGTGTATCCTTGCAATATTTTTTTAAATTTTTTATTTATTTATGAGAGAGAGAGAGAGAGAGAGAGAGAGAGAGGGAGAGAGAGAGGGGCAGGCAGAGACACAGGCAGAGGGAGAAGCAGGCTCCATGCACCGGGAGCCCGACGTGGGATTCGATTCCGGGTCTCCAGGATCGTGCCCTGGGCCAAAGGCAGGCGCCAAACCGCTGCGCCACCCAGGGATCCTGCAATATTCTTTTCTGTGCATATACCATATTTCTCCAATCACAACCCTGATAAATTCTTATTGTAATTTTATTTAATACTGGCCTCAGTATCTAGAATTTAGCTCAAGGCAGGCAGTGACTGGGACATGTAAGATCTAAATGTTACTGAATGAGTATAGTCTCTTTCACACCAAGTTTACAAGAGGTGAAAGAAATTCTAGAAAGTATTCCTATCGCAACTGATGAATTATTGAAAACTACATCTGAAACTAATGATGTACTGTATGTTGGCTAACTGAATTTAAATAAAATAAAGAAATGTATTCCTAAAAAGAAATTCTGACTTACATTACAAAATAAGACTGTGCAATTTAGTAATGAGCTTTTATTAAAGTTAATTAAAATAGTTTTGTTAATTCCTGTGCAAAAAAAACCAAACCAAAACAAAAAAACCCCAAACTATATTAGAAATTCTGCTATCCTGGTACCATCTGACCAAGTGAGAAGCTTCTTATGTAGGAAAAGAGGAAAGGAAATGATTTCATTAACTTTACCATGGCCTTGTGAACCTTTTCCTTTATAGGCTAGTTAAGGCAGCTGTGAAAAAAAAAACTTCAATTCTAAGAAGAATAGCAGACTTTAACTACATTAAATAAGAAGCCTGTGCAAGATGAAATTAAAACCAGAATCCTGTGGTAAATATCAATTAGTATATATGGAAACTTGCTGTCAGAACACAGCTATTTACTTGTTTGTGGGCATTACACAGTAAATTTTCTTTCTTACAATGGCTTTGAAAAGCCTACATTTCTTTCACATTATCATAAGATACATACAATAGTTCTCACCATCTTACTCAAGAGCCATTCTGTCCCTTTGCACACTACAGGCATTTCTTTTTTTAAAAGTCACCAGAAAGTCTATCTCCCAGCCTGCAAATGAAGTCACAAAGAGACCAAAACCACAGAGTCTGCCTGATTGCCCTGAGCCTTTTCACTGAGCATAAGCTAAAATAAAGTTCTGGTGATTTATTGAGACCCTTTATTCAGCCCCTGCTGGACTGCCACAATGGCTGGGCTGCTAATAAAACAGCAGGGCCTACTCTGGGAGAGAGTGGGAAGAACAAAGCATGGGGGGTGAAAACAAGGGGCAAGCTGGCTAAGGGACAAGAAGAAGGGGTCACACTTGCAGCAGGTGGATGGCGCTGGTTGAAGAACCAAATCCAACAGAAATCAAATCTCAAAATCTCAATCAACAAACTCGTGTGTTTTGACCAAAGGGGCAAAACCCTAAAGCAAAATAAAGTAAGAACGAGGGGAACCTGGCTGGCTCACTGGTGAGCATGAGACTCTTGATCTCTGGGTTGTTAGTTTATTCATGAGAGACAGGGAGAGAGAGAGAGAGAGAGAGAGAGAGAGAGAGAGAGAGAGGCAGAGACACAGGCAGAGGGAGAAGCAGGCTCCATGCAGGAAGCCTGATATGGGACTTGATCCCGGGTCTCTAGGATCAGGCCCTGGGCTGAAAGTGGCGCTAAATCGCCGAGCCACGCAGGGATCCCCTAGTTTTTGTTTTCAAGGGTAGTCGGTATACTCTTTAAAACTCATAATAAAGACAACCTGATGCAAAAACGGGCAGAGGATCTGAACAGACATTTCTGCAAGGAAGATCTACAAATGGCCAATAAGCACACAAAAAGATGCTTAGCACCATTAGTGCTTAGGAAAATGCAAAATAAAACCACAGTAAAATACTACCTCACACCTACAAGGATAGCAATAATAAAAAGGATGGGCAATAACAAGTTTTGAGAAGGATGTGGACAAGCTGGTAGGATTGTAATTTCGTACACATGCTTTTGAAAAATAATTTGGCAGTTATTCAAAATGTTACACACAGAGTTATCATATGTCCCAGAAATCGCACTACTAGGTACATGACCAAAAGAGGTGAAACTTAGGATCACACAAAAATATGTACAAGAATGTTTATAGCAGCATCATTCATGATAGTCAAAAGCGGAAGCAATCCAAATGTCTACGAACTAATGAATGGATAGATAAAATGTGCTATTATTCATACAATGGCAATGAGAAGGGATGAACCCTGAAGACACAATGCTAATAAGTAAAAGAAGTCAATCACAAAGACTACATAGTGTGTGATTCCATCTATATGAAATGTCCAGAACAGGCAAATCCATAGTGACAAAGCAGATTAGTAGTTTCCTAGGGCTGGGGGGAATAGGGGAATAGGGAGTGACTGTTAATGTATATGGGGTTTCTTTTTCTTTTTGAAGTGATAAAAAATGTTTTAGAATTAGTGATGATTACACAACCTTGTGAATATACTAAATACCACTGAATTGTACATACCATAAAATGGTGAATTATATGGTATGTGAATTATATCTCAATAAAAAAAAAATTAGGATACCATTTCACATCCACCTGATTGGGCAAATGGAACACTAGCACCCTGCAGGTGAGAATGTAACTTGTGAAGTCAAATTTAAAAGTTCTGGCATCATCTAGTGAAGCTGAAGCTGCATGGACTTCTGACCCAGTAATCTCATGCTTTACACTGGCAGGTGGGTACTATGCTATTGTTATAGGAATGTTCAAAGTAGCACTGTTTTTTGTTTTTGTTTTTTTTTTTTTAAAGATTTTATTAATTTATTCATGATAGAGAGAGAGAGAGAGAGAGAGAGAGAGAGAGAGAGAGGCAGAGACACAGGCAGAGGGAGAAGCAAGGCACCATGCCAGGAGCCTGATGTGGGACTCGATCCGGAGACTCCAGGATCACGCCCTGGGCCAAAGGCAGGCGCCAAACCGCCGAGCCACCCAGGGATCCCAGTAGCACTGTTTTTTAACATCAAGAAATTGGAAACAAAACTAAAAGGTTTATCATCAGCAAAATGAATAAACAAGTTGTGATACAGCCATATAATGGAGGTCTGTACAACAGTAAAAATGTATTAATTACAGCCATATTAAACCATATGAATGAATGAAAAGATCATGTTGAGTGGAAAAAACCTGTATCACTAAAGAATATATATATCACACACACACACACATAAATATATATATAAATATAAATGTATATTTATATAAGGTCAGAAATAAGTAAAATTAAACAATAAGTTGTTTCCAGTTTACTATATTTGCATTTATATCTCTCTAAAGAAAAAATAAATGATGATAAATAAGCAATTCAAGAGAATGGTTACGTTTCAAGGGCACAGAATGTAGGGTGGGCATACAGTGGACTTTAATTTTCTATGAGGAAGGTTTTAACAGATTTAGGTTTGACATGGAGTCAGGGACAACATGTGAAAGTGTTAGTTAACATACCTGTGATATAACCTTCTAACGCCTTTGGCACCAATGATTTAGCAAGTTTCAGATCTTCCAGAGAGCATTTGCCTGACTCTAGGCCAAAGGACATTCCCATTCGTTTCAGCACTTCTATGTCATCATGGATCTCAAAGGTGTTGTCAAAATTAAAAAGATATTCAAACCTGTATCAGAAAACAAAGTTAGTATGGGGTTTCAGTGGTATAGGGGAGGTCTGCATAGTGTTGTACTTTGTACATTACACGCAAGAATGAGGGCCTAAATTCAGTTATAGTACTAGGAACTGTCACTGTTGAGAGCAGTAACAGTCATTCTGCTGTGTTCAGGGGGAAATGACATCTCAAACAAGCCACTTTCCCAACTAAAACAGTTTTCCTATGACAAATAATAGGAGTCCATAAACTTCAGTCCTATTCAAAGTTGTTACAAACAGGGAACAGAAACTCTGGTGTAAAGCCAATACTTTCAAAGTTGGCTACAGTTTTGTCACAGAAGACAAATTATTAAGGAAGACTTTTCAGTTTAGTATAATATATGACATCCCTACTATGAGTCGGCCTATCAGGTTTGAGAGAGAGAGAGAAAAAAAAAACCCAATAAACTATTTTGGATGCTTACTTCATTTTCCTGAGTCAAGTGTCAAGCTATAGAGTTTAGATAAGCAGTAAGTGGAAGACTTTTCACAAACAAACCAAAACCCAAATCCTGTCTTAGGAGCCTAAGAAGTGAAATAAATGACTTAAGGAAAAAGTGCACATTTACAAGTGTCCTTGAAAAGTACCAAATCAGGATGCCCAGCTGCCCTGTACAATGTTTCAAAAAAACACAGTCCTTTTGACTCCTAGGCTGGGCCCTGGGGCACCTTTACCCATAGGCCTCGGTTGCACAGGGACTGAGTGCAGATGAATGTTTTGGCACAGTGGTGGTTTTATATTGTCATAAAATTCTTATTAAAATCACATGAAGGTAAAATAATTGATGCTAGATTTTAGGTCAGGGCAAAAATTACAATTTAAAATGAAATACCATGTTTAAATAGTCTGAAGTATTATATAAATTTGAATAAAGGACATTAACAAATTTTCAGTGAAAAACACAAAAAATTTGAAGCATGTGCCTGTCAAGGAGATGATTCCTGGTAAATGTTAAAAGTAGATGGTTTTGTAAATTTAATCCCCATTGTGAAGAGCCTCAAGGCTAATTAAGGGGAAAAGATTGTATCAACAAAGTAACTGAAAGACAAGGCTTTAGGACCTACCTTGAGTAACAAGCTTCTACAAGCTGCTCACAACCTCCTTCCCTACACTAAGAGTTGGGCTGGGAAAGGGCATGAGTCAGTAACCACCTACGTAGGGATGGAAACCTTACCAGGCCCCAGCCTGGGACGAACAGAATCCATAATTCCTTTAGGCCAATGGTTCCCAGATCTTCCTGCTACTCTTTTTAGACTTGGAAGACTAAGGGATGAAGAGAATTTAATAATCCCTCACAAAACAAGAGGCTGACTGGAGAGAGGAACTATAATTCTAAGACTGTTTCTCTTGAAAATACGTTAAACATTCTCCAGGAGTCTCAGTTTTATGAGAATATGTTAATAGTCCCTATAAGATGTAGGTTTTTGTGAAGATTTTGCAATTGTGTGAATAATAATACAGACACGTACCATTTACTGACCACTGGGCTGGGTTCTTTAAGATTTACCTACAACTTTTGAAAATCAGCAAGTTAAATACTATAAATCCTACTTTTGAGGAGGAAGCATCCAAATCTCAGAAAGGTTAAGAAGCTATGTAGCTAGAGGAAAAACTGAAAAATGGATCTTCTGACTTCATACTATTTTTATGTCTATAGTCTTAATTATCAAATACTTTTGAGATCCTTGCTCACTGTTTTTTTTTTTCTTTTGGCACCTTCTTATTTAAGTGACCTAGAATCTCTGTATGCAATCAAGATAAAGAGGGGAAGCAACACTGCCTGAGGAAAGAGTGGAAAAGACAAGGGAAGGCAAAGCCCAAAGGCCATGTGGTAGCTCTAAGGAGACCAGAGGCCCAAGTCTCCCTGGACAGTCTTAGTCTTAGACTATGCCTGTGGGACTGATGTGATTACTGAGCACTCTTTTACTTTCAAATGGATCCCAATTTGGTCAATAAATTATATGCTGACTCCTTGTGACAGCAGCTAATATTTATAAAGTGCTTGCCTTGGGTCAAAACCTTTATAGACATCATCGTATTTAATCCTCACAAGGCTAGGATGTGATAGAGGCTTTGGAATCATCCTCTTTTGTTCTTCAGAACATTGCTCTGAAGCAGCTAAATGGGGGAACCCCAATCCACACTTAGGTCTTTCTCACTCCACACCTTATTCCCTTAAATATCTCAGGATGCTGGTCACAGTAATCCTGAAGATTACTGCTATTTTCATGAAGAGTAAAATAAGTTACAAATTAACTTAGTAGTATTTTAAAAACTGTGCCACTGCTCACTTGCTATGATAAATATCATCAACTTTAGTTAAAATGTAAAAAAATGCTGGTGGGATTGTAAATTGGTGTAGCCACCATGGAAAACAGTATGAATGTTTCTCAAAAAATTAAAAACAGAACTACCACATGATCCAGCTATCTCACTTTTGGGCATATATCTGAAGGAAATAAGATCACTATTTCACAAAGATATCTGCACCCCCATGTTCACTGCAGCATTATTTATAATAGCCAAGATACAGAACCAACCTGTCTTCTGACATATGGACAAATAAAGAAAATGTAGACTATCTCTGTTATCTGAGTGTGTACAAATGGAATATCTGGCCATAAAAAAGAAGGAAATTCTGACATTTGCAACAACATGGGTGGACCTTGAAGGAATTCTCCTCACTGAAATAAGATGACAGAGAAAGACAAGTACTGTATAATCTCCCTTACAATATGGAATCTAAAAAAAAAAAAAAGAAGTCATAGATGCAGAGAACAGACTATTGGTTGCCAGAGGTGGATGAAATGGGTGAAGGTGGTCAAAAGGTATAAACTTCTAGTTATAAAATAAATAAAAAAAAAGAAAGCAGACAATGCACCTAGCATTTTCATGTCCATTCATTCATAAGCAGAAGCATACTCCAATACCATAGAGCAAAACAGAAAAACAAAGAAACAACTGCCCTAATGCCACATGTTGCCCTACAATATTTCCACAATAAACTATGCAAGTGAATCACCAGGGAACCTACCTTGTCCCAGGCCCTCACTGATGGTCTACTTTGAGGCAGTTACTTGCCCAGGGTTGCCACAGAGTGTACATACATGCACATCCTGGCTGGGGTCCAGGCTCCACTATGCATATAGTATAGGCAGCACAGTGCCAGGCACAAGACAGGGGGCTGCAGAGGGTGAGTGATGGAGAATGCACGAGTAGATGGCCGCACTCCATCAGCGAAGGTATTTCTCATGCCCCAAGGAGGTCAGCCCAGCCCGCCCCCGGGGGCTCAGATAACGAAGTACACCCTTCTTTATGTTGCAAATGCTAGGAATGTGTTAACAGGAGGCTGGCCCTACAGTCCTCCCCTAGTTCTCCACTCACTTGTCACTGGAGATGCTGCAATCTATGACTGTTTTTCTGCTTGTATTGATGATTATAAATGGCAGCTGAATGGTGGAGTTCAGAGCCGGAGGGCCCTGGTTCTGTTGTTCATTTTGCCGATTTCGCTGAACCAGGTTTTTGAAAGCGATTTGCTGTAATGATCAATAAAAAGAATATGGTCATTTAAAGTGAATAAGTGATTTGGAATTAAATGAATTAAAATAAATGCATTTAAGGAATAGTTTAAAATTAGAGAGTTTAAAGAGTTAATTAAAATTAAATAGTAAAAAAGAAAAGATTAGAAGGATCTAACTCAGACACATTTCAAGGGAAAAAACATACTTTTAAATGATGTCTAACATCATCCTAATATAAATAATGGGACCTATGACTCCCATCATCCATAGGATCTTACAAATCTGGGAGAGCCCAGCAGGTCTTGCAACTCTTCTTAGAGAGACACAGAGAAAGTGATACTAAGTGAACTTATATTTCCCATTTATCTAACATAGACTCTTGGGAGTTTGTGGTTAAATACACCTTTTAGACTGTCTAGCTCAGGATATGCAAACTTTTCGTCAAATGAAATCTATAGGACGCCATATAAAACAGATAAAAGTAGTACTGCTGTGCCTGGCTGCAGTGGGGCAGGGAGTCCGGAGCCCAGCTGGCTCTGCCCTCACTCACCCCTTAGGTTTCTAGGGTACCTCCACAGAACTCCTGCATCCTCAGGGCATAGCTGGGATCTGGCCCAACTCACCCCCGCACCTGATATCTTCCAGACAAGAAACTGAGGGTTAGCACTTATAAGATATATCAAGGCCTGAATTTTTATCCTGAATCTTGCTGCTATTTTTAGTTATAACCATTACTTGCAAGTCAAAAAAGTGACTGCCTACCCCCTTTTAATAAGGCAAATGTATCAGAGAATTCCATAGCTAGAAAGACTATGCAACTCAAGTTTTTCATCTGCTCCTGAAAGAGTGGTTTTAAATATTCCTAAAGTCAGATCCACTCATTCCCTTTTATTGGTGTGTCCCATCTTCTCATCCAGTAGTGATGAATTTAAGTGACTTTCTATGTTTTAGCACTCTTACCCTAGGATAGGGTAAATAAATAATTTAGGTTCTGAGCCTTAGCAAAAGTTTAAGATTATTTTTATCTTAAAATGACTGGGTACTATCCCTAGAAAGTAAAAATTTACTCCTAAAATGCACAAAACAGAAGGGACACCAATTTATTCTAGCCCTAACAGTGTGTCCAAAAATCACTAGCAGTACCAATCACAATCAAAACACTTACCACTTATCAATACGATTAAACGTTACTTAAGTCAGACTTCATTATTTTCTGCTGGTAAAGAATGAAGGCTGTTTTATATTCTTTGTTTAATATATTTAATGTCGAAAAAATGCTACTGATACTGTAAGACTGAGACAAGGAATGAAATGTTTGGATACTTCTGCCTAGATTCTCTTCCCTTCTACTAGAAAAAGCGTCTCAGGAGATGATGTCATACTTTGCCCTAGCTTTGTGGACCTAGTGCCAATGGCAGGGTCATGCCTGGGAGGGAATATCAACAGTGATAAATCAGAGTTCTTATATATTTATGACTCACTATTCAATACTGTGTACATTTAACAGTATATCAAAGATTTTTCAGGCCAAGAAAGCAGTAAAAACACATATAATGTTATTTTGATAGTAAAAAGAAAAATCACTTCCCGTTTGTTTTGGATTCATTTCCTTCGTTGCCCTTTGATGGAATTCCTTCAGCCTTTTGTTCTTTTCCAGGTTCATTAACATCAATTTCAGAGGCTGAACACAGGGCAGGCTCAGCCATTCATTTTGCTATGTATTAATAGCCCTGGAAAAGGTTTAAGGGCTGGTAGGGCCAGTTATATAGAGAAAAGTAGGGTACCTTGATTACCTACAGATATCATCTACTCACACCATTCCTCTTCTACATTACCAAGGATAAATGAGAAATGGTGCCATGTAAGTAAAACTTACCTGTGTCATGTGATGTGAGTGGTGACACTGACTTGTTAAAAATCAAGCTAGCTTTGCCAGGGTAAATTATTAATGTTCAGGGACATGTTTAATTTACTGTCTGTGACAGCTTTTGAGAGATGAACAACACAGCAGGAAATAAGCTGTATGTATGTCTACCAGAAGACCAGAGAGTAGTTGTTTCCAGTTATACTTTGGGTTTCACTTTAATATTAAGAGACCTACTTTTTAAATGTTGACAGCTAGGTTGCCCCTAGGTTGAAATCTAGAAATATCTGGTTTGAGACATACAAAAGGAAAAGAAATTTAGGACTTAAAAAATACAGTGTTCACTGTACAAAGATAAGCAGAGGAAAAAATATTCAAGTTCATTCTTTATGAAGGCTATCTAGGGATGTGAACGTCCCACAGACAGGACGGTGACCGTGCTTAGCACCATTCTTTCCGAGAAGCAGATTATTGTGGGTATACTAATAGACAGGTTTTTCATGAACACTATGCCAAAAATCAAGCTCTAGAATGAAGGTAGGTCATGAAGTAAGGTCCCATGAAGGTAGGCTCTGAGGGAACCTGAGGAAGGCCTGGCATAGCAGTGAGGGAGTGTGAGCTAGCAGGGAGCTGTGTGGGCATAGGGACAGCATCAGCAGCTGGGGGAAGGAAGGGACAGCATGGATTAGAAGCTAGTGCCTGGCAGGCCAGGTCGCAGGAGGCAGACTTGCACAGAGAGGAGCAAAGGAATAAACAATCAGCTTTCAGGTTTTTTGTTCTGTTTTATAAGCTGTGGAATACTCTTTTCAAACAAAACCTTATTTGGAAATTCAGTATGAAAAAACATATAAAGTGCTCATTCCAGCCCTAGCTCCTCAGGTAGGTCGTCCAGGGCTCAGAGTGAAAAGCAGACACGGAACACAATGAGGAAGAAAGAAATGGCCTCATCGGGGTGGAACTTCGCCTTTGGAGTGTGGTGTGTTGGGCAATCTCTGCTTTATCTGCTGCTACTCTTTTGCCCTTGCTCTTCTACTTCCTTTCCTACTTCCTTCCCAGGTCATATATAGGTCTCAGCAAGGGCTAAACGGTTTTCTCTTGCTGCTCTGATTTATACATGACCGTAAAATTAAAAAAAAAAAAAACACATGTAACTATCTAGAAAGTGAAAAACAAAAATGTGGAGTATTTAAGAATACCTCACATACTCTGTCCATTAGATCAAGGGAGTGCTTTGGAAAAACCCTACTACGATATTTGATAATTTAACTGTTACCTTTATTTCTGAAAAAATGGATTACATCAAAAATTAAATAGGTTCTAACGGCTGTCAAATCAAAGTGGATTTTATGAGTGTTTGGAAGCTTTTCATATAAAGACAATTTGCTGATTAAAAAAAAAAGCATAAAGACCCCCTGGTTCATTTTAAAAGGGTTTCTGATTGCACTGAAAATGACCCCAGTGTACTGCTCAAATGAATTTTTACAGCAACTGCAATTACCGAAAATAAAATTTACAAAAGTCCATGTGATTTTACCTCATATGATTTTTATAAATCGGCTCTATTATATTTTAAAAAACCATCCAAATTCTAGGCAGTTATCCAAAACAGTATAAATACAGGGATCCTTATTACACTATAAAAGCAAATTTTCTTAAAAAGAAATGTATTTTTTAACTTTTGGTATTTCTATGAAGCTTACTGAATCACCACATATTATTCCGTTGTTTATAGATAATAATAAGTCATTATAGGTGGATTTGATTATCTTACTCAAAGTGCCTGAAGTTCAACTAGTCTTACTTCTTTATATTCTAAATTATTGCTAAAATAAACACATACAAAAGGACCTGAGTTTCTGTTCAGAATAAAGGTCAGAAGTAAATTGCTGGGTAATATAAGTCACACACAGGGCAGGTGACATGCCATGGGGCCATGATGATGGTGAGAGACAGAACCAACCATATTAAAGGCAGACCATGTGGATGGTGGTGAGCACAGATGAAGAGAAGGCCGCCCCAGATTGGTCCCATCGGACACCACTCAAAAGGGACCCAAAGTAGAAAACACTGATTCTAAATGCAAGTAAGGAGAGCAGTAGAATATAGGCAGGGAAAAGAATGAAAACCATCCCAGCATCTGTACCTGCAGGAGAAGTTCTTGCAGCTGGGCCCGCTTCTGCTTTATCCGTTCTATCCTCCTCTGCTTCTCTATCTTTAAAACATAAGTTACAAAATATCATGAACATATGGAAAGTATAAAGTACAGCTCACTTTCCTGGTTCCAATTCTGAGATATCAAGAATTTTCCCCAGGGGTGCCTGGGTGGCTCAGTCGGTTAAGAGTCCAACTCTTGGTTTTGGCTCAGGTCATAATCTCAGGGTTGTGGGATCGAGCCCCACATTGGGCTCTAGGCTCAGTGCAGAATCTGTTTGGGTTTCTCCCCCTCTTTATTTCCCTCTGCCCCTCTCCCTGCTCATGCTCTGTGTTCTCTCTCTCTCTCTCTGATAAATAACTCTTAAAAATTTTCTTCCTTACAACTCAATCCATTTTAACTATCAATATCAATTAAGGCATATCACACCTTTTTGGGAAGCAGGAGTTAGGGTAAGCAAGTAGGCACGATAGCAGAATTGTGGCAACTATTATCAATGAAACTCATCCACTTAGGGATCCCTGGGTGGCGCAGCGGTTTAGCGCCTGCCTTTGGCCCAGGGCGTGATCCTGGAGACCCGGGATCGAATCCCACGTCGGGCTCCTGGTGCATGGAGCCCGCTTCTCCCTCTGCCTGTGTCTCTGCCTCTCTCTCTATCTCTGTGTGACTATTATAAATAATTAAAAAATAAAAAAGATCCTTTAAAAAAAAAGAAACTCATCCACTTAATAAAATCTTGGTATGCAGTACTTGTTGCTAGTTCTTACTCAATTCTAATCAGAACCATAGCTAACACTTAGTGAAGACTTACTCTGTGTGTCAGCAACTCAACTAAGCACTTCACACACATCTTTTTTTTTTTTTTCCTTTACACATTATCTTAATGCATCTTCACAAAACTCTAGGAGGTAAAGTACTGTTGTTACCCATTTTGCATGTAAGGAAATGGAGGCATAGAGGGTGAAGTAACTGCCCAAGGTCACATAGTTCGTGAATGTTAAGAGTCAGGATTTGAACCTAAGCTATTTGGTTCCAGAGGCCCTCCTATTAATTACTTTCCTATATTACCCCTAACCTGAAGAATGAGGTAAGATCTCATTTAAGATATCAGTTTAAATGACTTTTTTTTTAAAAGATTTTATTTATTTATTCATGATAGAGAGAGAAAGAGAGAGACAGCGACACAGGCAGAGGGAGAAGCAGGCTCCATGCAGGGAGCCCAACGCGGGACTCGATCCCAGGACTCCAGGATCGCGCCCCGGGCCAAAGGCAGGCGCCAAACCACTGAGCCACCCAGGGATCCCCAGTTTAATTGATTTTAAATGGACATTGCTCCTAATATAGATAGCCTACATATTCAATACATAATTCCTACTTGTATACGGAACATGCTTATTACTAACAAATTTTTGCTCATTGAGGCTTAGTTATCAGCTTAATATTACTGGTAATAAAATTGATCCTTAAATTCCACTCTATCAGAAGGAGAAAAGGAGGTCATTTCCATTGTAGAATATGGATAATATTCTACAACCTCTGACGAATGTCTAATTTCTCCCTCCACCCACAAGTAATACCAAATAAGTTTTGATTTGCTGAGGGAAAAAGGACTGAGAAAAACAAGAAATCAACCATATTTATTGCCAGAAACTCTATTTAACCTCAATTTATTCCATTTATGGCCATTTTAGTATAAGTATGTCAAATCAATTTAAAACCAGTAGGTCAGGGTACATGCTCATATAGGAAAAATTGTCTATAATGATTAAAGTTAATGGAATAAAAATTTTTTTTGTTTTGGTTTTTGCATTTTATTTGAAAGAGAGAGAGAGAGCACGCACAAGAGAGAACATGAGCAGAGGGACAGAGGGACTGATATGGGACTCAATCCTAGGATCCTGAGATCACGACCTGAACAAAAGGTAGACAACCAACTGAGCCACTGAGGCACCCATAAAAACTGCTTTTGCACATATCATCTTAAAAATCATAGAAGCTGAACATTCTATCCTTTCTGATAAAGATACAGATGAAATACCATTCTGTTGCCACTAATGTGAGAGTCAAAGATAAAAGTTTAAACACAAAAGGTAAACAGCCAGTTTGATTCTTTTTTTTTTGGTTTTGTTTTGGATCCCTATAGCAAGCATTTCATCAAATAAGATATTTCTATTCATGAATTGTCCAAAACTTCTTAGTAGAGTGCTCAGAATTAAGCTAGAATAAAATAAAAATCTTATCTAAGAAACTGTAAAAATCAAGTCAATTAATTTCTGTGTCCCTCAGTTTTATCAAACTATATACCTTGCTAAATCTCCCTCCAGTTCTAAAATTCTACACAGATGAGTCTGTTAAAAAAAAGACATAGTATACGAGAATAATTAGAAATATTTTAATATATGTATTTCTAAATTAAAATGCATCTTATGTAAAATAAAGCAAACTACTAGTTTCCTCACTTACCTCAAGATTTTGACATTCCTGAGCAGAATTGGTAGGTAGGCCAATCCACTTGATTTCTTTTTTTTCCTTTGAAATTATGTTCATTGCCATTAGCACATTTAAAGCATCATAAACTCTTCTCCTAATATTCTTCTGATCATAAGCCTGCTAAAAAGTATTTTTAATGAGTGATAAATTTCAAAGGTTAAGATACAGTCACAGGATATTAAGATATCCTATTTAATATTATTATTATAATATCTTTAGAGTGCTTAAAGAATTCTATACCCAGTGAAAATATCCTTCAAGAGCAAAGATGAGATAAAGATACTTTCAAACAATCTAAAACATAATAGAATCTAAAAAATAAAGATTATGTTACCAACAGATCTAAATTTAAAAATACTAAAGGGCCTTCTTTTGGGAGAAGGAAGATGGATGGGATCCAAGATGGGAGTTTAGAGATGTAGGATGGAATGAAGACCAACTCAAAAGGTAAATATATGGGTATATCTCAATTAACACTCAGTTTATAAAACAATAATGTCTTGTGGAATCAAGAATATATATATAGAACTAACATACATGACAACAGTATTATATCAGAAAGGGGTAATGGAGTTGTTAGTTAAAGCGAGATAAACCTCTCCATTGTCTGGGGGATATGAGACTTTGAAAAGTCAAGGATGCATGTTTTAAGCTCTAGGTAAACAGTGCTTTTCAAGTATGTGGTCCACGCCCCTGTTGATTTGTAAACTGTTATTAGTCTACAATGAAAATAGTGAACTTGCACCAAAATGTCATCACAAAGATCAATAGGCACACTGTTTACTTCAGCTGATTTTTTTTTCTTTCTTTGGTAGCAAGATTTTTTTTAAAAAAGATTTTATTTATTTATTCATGAGAGAGAGAGAGAGAGAGAGAGAGAGAGAGAGAGAGAGAGATAGGCAGAGAGAGAAGCAGGCTCCTCACAGGGAGCCCAATGCGGGACTCAATCCTGGGACTGGGATCATGCCCTGAGCCAAAGGCCGATGCTCAACCGCTGAGCCACTCAGGCATCCCCGTAGCAAGATTTTTTCAATGAAGGAGACTGTGTTAAACTTAGATTGTGGAAAAAGTCCCTTATTTTATTATGGACAAGTAGCTCCTAAGGAAAAATCCAATCAATAAAATGCCATGATAATAAAGGATGGTGGAGAACACGGAATACAGAACTAAACTTAAATAAGTGGGAGATTTAAGTTATAGAACCGAATGTAAATATTAGAAATCCTGGCACTGTGGAAATAATGATAATATAGTAAAAAAATACCAGGAGGAGACAACAAAAGGCTTGCTCGTGTTCTCCTTACTATTTTAAGGGGTATGGGATTCAAAGCAGATGAACTATTTAAACAGATGAAGTAAATAGTAACACAGGTTTTGGCACAATATATTTATTTAAAGTAATAAAAACAAACTGTAATAATATTACTCTTTTAACAACTACCACTAAGATATTCAATCTGTATCTGTGGTAGACAAAAGATGGGACATGCAAGTAGATATAAGCATATTAACTTTTTCCCTTCATAATCAACAGATATTGGTTTATAGGTAACTGAAGTTACTTAAAGTTATAAAGATAACCAGTTAAAGAACTAAAGACTACAAACCTTCCAATTTATATATTTATATAAAAAAAATAACATAGGGAATAGACAGAAAACCCCCAACCCTTGCTTGTATTCAGGGATGAGGATGGGGTTGGTAAGTTAAAATTTATATTAGATGATAAAATGTGCTAAGAAGAAATGCCTCGGTACAGTGACATCTGAATAAAAATTGGAGAGAAGAGAGAAACCATATGGCTTCTTAGCAGAGATTCAGACATAGGAAATAGCAAGTCTAACAGTCTGATAAGGAACGTACCTGGCATATTCACCCCGAAACAAAAAGCAAACAAAAACCCACCAATCTCAGTCATGGCTGTCAGTGTAAACTCCTAAATTTTCAGGAAACATACAGAATTTGATTGAATTCAATATCCATTTCTGAATTTTTTAATTAAGAAAAATGAAAGAAATATTCATTTAAAAGATCAAGTTATGGTTGCTATTATTTCAAGATAAAACTTTTATCATAAGGTGGCTAGAGTATAGTAACTGGGAGAGTTCCTAGTAGGAGATGAGATGAGAGAGGTAATGGTGGGCCAGATCATATAGGTCTTATAGAACATTTTGAAAATTTCCACTTTCACTCAGAATCAGAATGCGACATACCTTCTCTACAGGTGCCAGAGAAAAGAAAAAAAAATGTATTACCAAATAATGGCTCACAAGAAAAATCTCAAAGCAATTTTAAAAATATATAAATAGTTCAATTTACAAAAAAAAAACCCTATTACCTGGAAATATAAAAATTCTAATGCCATTCTTAGGTCAGAGAGGAAACTAAAAACCAAAGTTGCAGAATATTTAAAGAGTAATATATCAGAATTAATGGGAAATGGCTAAAGCAGTGCACATGAGGAAAAGTCACAGCTATAAACATTTTCATTACTAAACAAAAATAATCAAAGTAAATAAAGTATATATCATAATCTACAGGATAGAAAAATAACAAAAGTAACTTCAGGAAAGAGAAGAGACTATTAAATGAACATAGAAAAAAAAAAAGAAATTAACTACAAAACAGGAGAGTCCATACAAATTTAGGAGATGGTTCTTTGGGAAAAATAATTGCAAATAATTTTAAGAACATGTATGAAATGGAGGATTTTCTAAGAAACCATAAAATACTAAGGGAGACAAAAATTCTAAACAAAAATTCTAATTACCAAAGTAAAAATGGAGAATGCTATCTAAGCATTACTCCCCACTAAATCACCATGCCTAGATGGTATCATAGGTGATTTCTATTCTATAAAATGTCAGGGAAGCAAAATACACATCTAATGCTATTAAACCTATAATGGAGTAAACTGGAAGAAGGAAAAAAAGCCTCTAAATTTTAAAAAGCCCAGCATAACACTGCAAATCAAAACTGCAAAGATGGAAAAAAAAAAAAACAGCAAAGATGGTAAAAACAAAAAGATTACATCAATCTCATTTAGGACTGTCAGTGTAAAATACCTAAATTTTCAAAACTACACAAAATTTGAATAAATTAAATATCCATTTCTGATTATTTTTAGTTAAGAAAAAAGAAACATTCAGGATGCCTGGGTGGCTTGGCGTGTGGTCCCAGGATCCTGGGATCGAGTCCCACATTGGGCTTCCTGTAGGCAGCCTGCTTCTTCCTCTGCCTGTGTCTCTGCATCTCTGTGTCTCTCATGAATAAGTAAAATCTTAAAAATAAATAAGTAAATAAAAAATAAAAAAAAAAGAAAAAAGAAACATTCATTAAAAAAATCAAGTTATGGATGCTATCATTTCAAAATAAAACCCTTGTCATAATTAAGATTGGAATATTAAACATATTTCCAGTAAGGTCAAGAACTATTTTAAGAATTGTGGAGTATATATAATATGATCACATTTAAATAAAATGCAAATTGATCTATAATGATAAAAAGCAGATCAGCAATTGCCTAGGGATAGAGGGAGAAGGAGGGAAGGAGGGATACATAACAAAAGGCAGAAAGAACCTTTTGGGAGTGACAGAACTGTTCTGTAGCTCTCCAAAATAAACAAATAAAATCTTTAAAAAAAAAAAATAAAAAAGGGAATAGGTTTTATTATGTGTATGCCTAAGGAACTTTGGGGATGATACTAAAGAATCTGGTAATAGGGATCCCTGGGTGGCGCAGCGGTTTGGCGCCTGCCTTTGGCCCAGGGTGCGATCCTGGAGACGGGATCGAATCCCACGTCGGGCTCCCGGTGCATGGAGCCCGCTTCTCCCTCTGCCTGTGTCTCTGCTCTCTCTCTCTCTCTCTCTCTCTCTCTCTGTGACTATCATAAATAAAAATTAAAAAAAAAAAAAATCTGGTAATAGTGGGGATCCCTGGGTGGCGCAGCGGTTTGGCGCCTGCCTTTGGCCCAGGGCGCGATCCTGGAGACCCAGGATCGAATCCCACATCGGGCTCCCGGTACATGGAGCCTGCTTCTCCCTCTGCCTATGTCTCTGCCTCTCTCTCTCTCTCTCTCTCTGTGTGACTATCATGAATAAATAAATAAAATCTTAAAAAAAAAAAAAAGAATCTGGTAATAGTGAATATGCCTTTGTGGAGAAAGATTAAGGTCTGTGGTTAAAAAGAGGACTTACATGTTCCATAAATATGTCTATAATGTTCTATGAATATTCTCTGCCTGCTGCTCCTCCTGCTGTGCTCTCAAATAAACAAAATCTTTTTAAAAAAGTATGTTCCTTTTGTAACCCCCCAAAGTATATTTAAAAAATACATGATAATCTTTATGTTTAAATATATAATAAAAGAACCCTTTCTAAAACAAAACTCAACAGAAGAATTCCCCAAAAGACAATATGAAACCCTCATGTAAAGGAGTTGGGGATTCCCTAGCTTGTCTGAGTCCTTAAAAAATGACACAGTCAACCTAGAGATACACTGTTCTATCACTCATCATAGTTAATGTCAAGTGCATGATCTACCTACCGAATCAGCTGCCAAATGGTTATTTGAATTGGTGAACTCTGATACCAGCTCATCGGCCACTTCATTGTATGACGTTGTACCTTTCCGCTGAACTTTCTCACATACTTTCATGGAAAAATGTCTCAAGCCTTTTCCATTTTTGTCTCCTTTTTTGCTTCGTTTACTAAAAGAGAAAAAAATGCATATTTATACACCAGACTTCCTTTACAAAACTATAAAGTAATGTGAGAATATACTAATTTGATTTTTGCTTTAGGTGGTCAATTTTAAATTGAATTAGAGATGAGGAAATGTTCTGAACTTAATTTTTGCCTTAAAGCCTAATAAGTATGAGATTAGAGTGCTTTTCTATATGCATCATTCATTTATTCAATAAAGATTTACTAACTAGTTATTTATTATTATGCGCCAGGTACTGTTCTACACACATGAAAAGAACAGACAAAAATACTGCGCTGGTGGTTATATATACTTACCTTTTTGTATTCTATGTGTGCTACAGTTCTTTTTCACTTAAAATTAAAAGTACTACTATCCTCAGTTTCATTTATCTACTCAAATTTCAAACAGAGGTCATTGGTATTAAGAAGAGATCTAAGTCTTCAATTTTTTTAACTTTGGTTAATGCCTAGTCATAAACTTTGATGACTTATTACCTTTTCAGGGGTTCAATTTAGTTCTACTAATTTCTGAGTGTCAACTATACGCTAAGAACTATAATAGGGACTAGAGTACAAAAACGACAACAGAGGCAAAATCCTTGCCATCAAAATGAGTCTTGGGGAGGGGAGAAAGACAAATCAGACCTATAAGGACAGATAATACCAATATAGTAAGGTAAGTGTCAAATCTGAGTTATTTACAATGTTCATGGGAATTGGGAAGAGGGACATCTTCTCTAACCTAGAGGAGAAAGACTTGCTGGAGTAAGAGCCAAGTGAAAACAATCAACAAAATGAAAAGGCAACCCTATGGAATGGGAGAAAATATTTACAAACCCTTTATCTGATAGGGGGTTAATATCCAAAATATCCAAGAAACTCCAACAACTCATTAACAAAGAACCCCCAAATAACCCAATTAAAAAAACAGGCAAAAGTCATTAACAGAAATTTCTCCAAAGAAGAACACAAATGGACAACCAGCAAATCAAAGTTGCTCAACATCACTAATCATTAGAAAAAATGCAAACCAAAATCACCATGAGGTGTTACCTGATACCTGTTAGGATGGCTAGTTAAAACAAAACAAAACACAAAAGATAAGTACTGCTGAGAATGTGAAGAAATTACAATCCTTGTACATTCTTGGTAGGAATGGAAAATGGTATAGCTGCTATGACAAAAAGTATGGAGGTTCCTCAAAATATTTAAAATAGAATTTCCCTATGATCCAATGATCCCCTTTCTGGGTATATATCCAAAAGAACTGAAATCAGGATTTCAGAAAGGTATCTGCACTCTCGTGTTCATTGCAGCATTATTCGCAAAAACCAAGATAAGGAACCAATCTAATAGTCCATAGGTAGATGAAAGGATTAATACATACAATGGAATATCATTTGGCCTTAAAAGAGAATGAAATCCTGCCATAAGCGACAACATGCATGATGTTAGAGGACATTATACTAAGCCAATCACAAAAGAACAAATAATGCATGATGCCACTTACATAAAGTGTCCAAAACAGTCAAACACATAGAAGAGTAGAATGGTGCTTGCCAAGGGCCAGAGGGAAAAGGAAAATAGGGAATTGTTCAATAGGTTCAATAAAGTTTCAGTTATGCAAGACGAGCAAGTTCTAGAGATCCACTGTACAACATAGTGCCTATAGTTAACAATAATGTATACTTAAAAATTTGTTGGGGGTAAATCTCATGTTAAATGTTTTCACCACCACCAAAACAAATGAGAACTGTCAAGCAAAGGAAGTTAGGAAGAGCAACCAGGCAGAAGCAGCAAGAGTAAATACATGGGAGAGTGAAACAGATGATAAATGTTCAGAGCCTTACAAACAAACAGTGCAGTATTACCAGAATATAAAGTGAAAGACAAAAGATGAAGCAGAAAAGTAGATAAGAGGCCAGGCCCTTAAATGCCATCCAAAGGAATCTGCACTTTATCATATTCCATTAGTATAATTATATTCATTTATAAATTATTTACGCATTCTACTTGTTATATATACATTAAGACATAGACTAAATGTATTTTTTAAAAGAATGAAATAAGGACAGATAACTACTTTCTTTTTCCCACATTCCCAAAGAATCATCTGTGGTTATAGACTACTGCTACTACTACTACTACTATTACTACTAAAATACTGGGAAGCCACTAAAGGTAGTAAGTGAGGGAATAACATGGTGAAATTTTCAGTTAGGCAGAGATTCTGGCTGCAAAGCAGAAGATGCCTTTATGAGAGGCAAAAGTAGAGACAGGAAGACCAGGTGAGAGGCAAGCGTAGACAAGAAATACCAAGACCTGAAATTGGGGCAACTGGATAAGTAGGGTTGGATAAGAAGAGATAGATTTGCGTAAATTTTAAGGATAAAAATTTATTCTCATCTTTACTAAGTGACTGATGTGAACGTTAAGAAAGAGGGAAATAAGAGAATGACGTTAGAAAGAAGGGTCATTTATTGAGAACAAGGAGACAGGAACAAATTCATGAGTTTCATTTTAAACCTTCTCATCTGTATGGTCCAATACCTAGGTAAAATTCACATGCAGCTACTGAGCACTTGAAATCTGGGAAGTCTGTATTAAGATGAATTTCACTGAATTTCAAAGATTTGCATGTGAAATGAATGTAAAATATCTCATGAGTAATTTTTACATTAATTACATATTGAAATATAAGATTTTAGATACACTAGATTAAATAGGAGATATAAAAATTAATTTCAGGGGCACCTGGCTGGCTCAGTGGGTAAAGCATGCAACTCTTGATCTTGCAGCTGTGAGTTTGAGCCCCATGTTGAGTGTGAGATTACTTAAAAATAAAATCGTAAAATAAAATTAATTTCACACGTTTTTATTTTTTAAATTGGCTTTAGAAAACTAAAAATTCCATGTGTCTTGCACTACATTTCTATTGGTCAGCATGGATATTGAGTTTGATGTGTCAGTAGAGTATCCCAATTGATATATTCAATACACAGCTGAATATGTAAGTCTCACTTTGTAAGTGGGCTTATAGGACAAGTCACTTACAAGCTCATCAGCATGTGTACCCATGCCAACCTTCTTCCTATCAGTCTTAGAGGATTAGGTATCCCTCTTTGTTTTTATTTTTTAATTTTTATTTATTTATTTTTTAAAAATAAGTTGCTCTGGAATCTTTTTTTTTTAAGATTTTATTTATTTATTCATAGAGAGAGAGAGAGAGAGAGAGAGAGAGGCAGAGAGAGAGAAGCAGGCCCCATGAGGGAACCCGATGCGGGACTCAATCCCAGGTCTCCAGGATCACACCCCGGGCTGCAGGTGGCGCTAAACCGCTGCGCCACCAGGGCTGCCCCCCTCTTTGTTTTTAAATATAACTTCCTTTTTTAAGATAACAACTGTATTGAAATATAATTCACATATTGTAAGCTCCATTTTTAAAAGTATACAATTTAGCAGCAACTACCACTACCACCACCATTCTTTTCCCTGAAAAGAAACCCTGTACCTACTGACAGTCATGCCTCATTCCTCCACCCCCTACTATTCTACTCTTTGTTGCTATGTATTTGCCTATTTGCTAAAGTCTACCTTTCTTCCTTTCTCTCATTATCTCTTTCCTCCCTTCCTTTCTTTTTTTATGTAGGCTCCACGCCCACCATGAAGCTCTGTTTCTGTATTGTTTGTTCTCCTTGAGCTATTCTAGCCAGTGGTTGTTTTCAATATATAATCTTATTATGAAACTGGAATCTGATCAAGACTCCAGATCCGGGCATCTGGGTGGCTCAGTGGTTGAGCATCTGCCTTTGGCTCAGGTCAGGATCCTGGGGTCCTGGGACTGAGTCCTGCATCGGACCTCCCTGCAGGGAGCCTGCTTCTCCCTCTGCCTGTGTCTCTTCCTCTCTTAGTCTTTCATGAATAAATAAATAAAATCTTGGAAAAAAAAATACCAGATCCAACTATACCACTTTAGGGGTAATACCAAGGACAGAATATGTTAAACTATACTACAAGGATTTAATAAACAAACTCTTTAGGCTTTCTCTTTAGGATACATAATGTGGTTCCTTCAACTAAGAAATTATAAGGGGACAGTGGTGGGAGGGAGAAAGGAGAGTGAAGGGAGAGAACAGGTACAGAAGGAGACACTACAGATTTTGTAATACATATAAATTTATTTAAACCCTGATTCAAATAGACTATAAACACACACACACACACACACACACACCAAGTATGGGGGAGTCTGGGAAAATAGCATTAATATGGGAAGCCTGGGTGGCTCAGTGGTTGAACATCTGTTTTCAGCTCAGGGCATGATCCTGGAGTCCTGGAATCTAATCCCACATCGGGCTCCATGCCTGGAGCCTGCTTCTCCTTCTGCCTATGTCTCTGCCTCTCTCTCTCTCATGAATAAAATCATTAAAGAAAAAAAAAAGAAAATAGTATTAGCATAGTTTTCAAACTCTTCAAATCCCCACATAAAAACAGAGCAACTAGATAACAAAACCAAAATTCCTTGACAACATTTACAATAAAACTAGATGACAAGGTGTCCTCAGAATACAACACCAAGAGCCAAAAAACCTACACAATATTCAATGGGGCTGCACCTAATGAACTCAGAATAGGATAATCCCAAAATAGCCAGCAAGAATTTACAACAGGCCAATTTGAGAAGATCGGTTGAAACAAGGAGTTTTTTACACCTCTTCAATGCCAGCTGAGTGCAAGGGCCACAATAATGCTGCAACAGTCTAGTCTGTACGACTCTCACAACTGATATTCAAGAGAAAACAAGTACTAGAGGTAGGCAAAGTATCCACAGCCAGTAAGAGTATCTGAAGAAGAAAATCAAAGCAAGAAAACAGAATTGATACTAAATGCTAAATTCAAGAAAATGTTCAGAAATAAAAGATAATAACCTACAATTGACAAATACCAAGACATTCTAATAAAATTCTGAATTTCAAAGAAAAAGAATTCTTTGTGCATCTAG